CTCTATTGGTTAGAATTACTTCTCCCTGAACTTCATAGCAGATGCTGAAGTCCCTCTGCAGAGTTGTCATCGACGAGTTGGAACCAGGGAGTTTCCAAGAACATTTATAACTTGTGATTATTATGTATGTTTTTCAGTTGTTTACAACAGTTACCACTTCAGGAAAGAGCCCATTTATTACTAGTGGGAAGTGAAATCTCTCTCCTTTTCCCCTTATTCATATTGTCATCTTAACGCTTTATGCTCCCAGACTGCTCCTGTTCTGACAATTTTTTAATATCCTCTCAGCCCGTTTCTCCTTCCTCCCAGTCACGCAGCTCCTCCTTCTACCTTGCTTGGGCTGTGCGTGTGCTTTGCTTGAAGGTGTGATAATAGCAACAGGCAAAGCACATTCTGTATGAGTTTTGTCATCAGTTTTGATGGAAGAAGGATCCTGTGGTAATGAAGCCGCAAGTCCGTTTATTCTCTGTTTTCAGCATTGTTAGTAGACTTTACTGTTTCAATTATCATTTCAATGTAGCAGTTTCTATTGTTTTTAGGAAATTAAGGTTCAAAGGATTTAAATAACCCATAGACCTGGATGGCATCTGGTTGAGGTCTGTCTTTTGATTTCTACATTTCTTTTCTGTATTATTTTACTTCTCTATTTATTGTTTTCATTTTTATTTGTGTTCTTTGCAATTCTCACCACAGCACCATCTCAAAACCAAAACCACGGGGAGGGTGTTGAAGCCTTCTGTGTCTTTTGATGCAAGGAAGTGGTGGAAGTAACAGTTGTGTTCGTCTTTGAGGCTCTCCTTTTCTGGTTTTCTACTGCAGTAATAACGGACAATTTTAACATTTACTGTTAACCTTAAGAGAGTAAATCGTGTTACCATTGTTTTCTTGTTTTTCTAGTAGCTTTAGCAGACACCTAAAGAATTCTTTTCAGTATGTCTTAGATAGGCATGTCACCATTAGACCTTTTCCTTGGAGGTAGTACTTTGGTTATGCATGTTTAAAACTCATTTGCCAGTCACCCTGGAATTATGATTGTGGAGTTTTCAAGCATGATATTCAGGCCCCGTCCCCCCCCCCCTTTTTTAAGCTTTGTTGTTGATCATTAGTAATAATTCAGCAAAACACATTTACTGGCAGTAGGGCTGGGAATGAAGCTATGAAATAGATTCACTCTTGTTTCATGTTTCACTCTCCACACCCTAACTATGGGAGAAAAATAATTTAAAAATAATTATAGAAATCGTTAACTGATTAAATACAGCGTTGCTAGAATGCTCATGTCCCCAGAATGTAACCACCTTACATGTTTTTGTTCCTCTTGGAGTCCCCAGCGACTGGAAGAGGGCCTGGCAGAGAGCAGTGCTAAATAGATAATCTGATGAATGAATTAAAGCTATTGGGAGGTGTGCAAGATGCTATGAGAGCACAGACAGGGTCAAGGAAGATTTCCATGAGGAAATAAATGATGCAAAAGGGAGGTGGGATGGGAACAGTGGTCCAGGCTGAGAGAAAGCCAAAATAAACTTGGGATTTGAGGGACCTAAAGAATAGTAGGATAACTAGAGGCCCCATGCACTAAGGATTTGCTTTCATTATTGTTTAATTGTTGTTGTTAGGTGCCGTCAAATCGATTTCAACTCATAGTGACCCCGTGTGACAGAATAGAACTGCCCCATAGAGTTTTCTAAACTGTAATCTTTACAGAAGCATATTGCCGGGTCTTTCTCCTGTAGAGCTGCTGGTGGATTCGAACTGCCAGCCTTTCAGATAGCAGCTGAGCGCTTAACTGTTGTGCCACCATGACTCTTATTTAATAGTTACCCAGTGAAAATACTTACTAGTTCAGCTATTAACCTAAAGGTTGGCTGTTTGAACCCACCCAGTGACTTCATGGAGAAAGACATGGCAATCTGCTCACATAAAGATTACAGCCAAGAAAACCGTATTGGGCAGTTCTCCTCGGTCACAAGGGGTTGCTATGAGTCTGAATTGACTGGGCAGCACCCAACAACAGTAGGTCTTTGGAGTCCTTGGGTGGTTTTGGGACAAAGAACTAGATTTGGCTTTTTGTATCTGGTTTCTGAAAGTAGCCTAAGCAATTAAGGTGCTCTGATGGTGCAGTGTTTAAGCACTTGGCTGCTAACTGGAAGGTCAGTGGTTAGAACCCACTAGTTGCTCCATGGGAGAAAGATGTGGCAGTCTGCTTCTGTAAAGATTTACAGCCTTGGAAACTCTATGAGGCAGTTCTACTCTGTCCTATAGTGTCGCTATGAGTCGGAATGAACTCAACAGAAACGGGTTTAATTTGGATTCTTGGTTTGTCTTTCTAAAATAGCCAGTCAAGTAGGGGCTACAGATGCCCCATACCTAGAGAATTTACTTCAGGAAGAGCAGGGGCATGATTCAATCAATCATGCATATTCATTGAACCGTGCATATTCATTGAGGTCCCAATGACTAGCAGACCCTGGCCCTTGGAGCTCTCTCTTTGGGACTTCCAGATTGGTGAGAATATCCATGCACTGGAGAGGGTGCATCATGTACCTGGGGACAATGGAAGCCTCATGCCAGGACCTCTCCCAGACCTTGCTGATAGGTCTCTTTGCATGTATCCTTTTTGGTTATAATAAATGGGTAACTGTAGGTATAGGTAATAGTCTCTGTGAATTTTGTGAGCTGTTATAGAAAATTAATGAAGCCAGCAGGGTCTGGCAGTACAGAGTCAATTTGTATAGACCCAGCTCTGGGTGGCTTGGTGACAGGGAAAGGCTGCACGGGCATTCAATGAAGAAGGATAGAGTCTTCTAGCTTGTGACCTAGCCCCAGGGGGCTAAAGGGTCAGAGAGAGAGAGAGAGAGAGAGAGAGAGTTGTTGTCATGGAAATGGCTGGTGATGAGAAATGAAAATGTGAGAAGGTGAAACTTGGCTCCATTTCCAGGTGGAATTTGATTCATGCTGATCCTTCCTACGCAGTTACTGATCAGGTGGGGTTTGCCCACTTTGCCCCTTTTATAGTGCAGTCGATAACGTTGCAGCGGTGTAAACAGTTAATATGCTTGGCTGCTAACCAAAAGTTTGATGGTTTGAGTTCACTCAGAGGTGCCTTGCAGGAAAGGCCTGGCAGTCTACTTCCCAAAAAATCAGTCATTGAAAACCCTATGGAGCACAGTTCTACTTTGACACACATGGGGTCTCCATAAGTTAGAGTTGACTTGATGGCAACTGGTTACTGGTTAATAGATTATTAGGTATAGTTGAAACACCTAAGTCAGAAACCCCTTCTTAGCTGGAACAAAAATGGGCAAGCATAGAACTGAAACATATCTTAAATATCAATTAAAGGCTTATCTTTATAAAGTTGTGGGTCTGTACACTAGTACCTTGAGGTTGTAGTAAGTAGGAAATGTAGACTTACTGGATGTATAAATTCAAATTCTGAACTCCCAGGAATGTTTTTTCCATCTATGATAACTTTTGGAAGGTGCTCAAGTGTTGAAAGGATGGCTTGGCAGGTAGATACCCGTTTTTGATGTTCTTAAAAGGGGTTAGGAACTAGCATGAAAAACTTCTTCCCTGCCGGCCTCTTCTGATGATTTCCATTGTCTTCTCCCACAGTAAAACCATTGACCTTGCTCTCCTAGCCCTCATGCCTGTGAATTATAAATGCTAAGGAAAGGGAGTATGGATGGTGAAAGCTGCCCCCTCCTTCCATCTGTTGCTGTCGAGTTGATTCCGACTCATAGTGACCCAGTAGGACAGAGTAGAACTGCCTCATAGGGTTTCCAAGGAGTGGCTCGTGGATTCAAACTGCCAATGGTTTTGGTTAGCAGTGTAGCTCTTAACTACTGTAGCACCAGGGCTCCCCTCCTTCCGTAATCCCATTAAAAAAACACAGAAAAACAAAAAACCCATTGCTGTTGAGTCGATTCTGACTCATAGCAACCCTATAGGACAGAGTAGAACTACCTCATAGAGTTTGCAGGGAGCACCTGGTAGATTTGAACTGCTGACTTTTGGTTAGCAGCTGTAGCATTTAACCACTATACCACCAGGGTTTCACCTCCTTCCATAGAACCCCAAATTAGTCAAAGAACCTAGACTCACATCCTGACACTCACTAGCTGTGTGATCCTGGTCCAGTTACCCACCCTGAAGACCCCAGCCTCTTTATTCACAAAATGAGCATTTTAATTGATTTTTGTAGGATTATTGTATTAAATAAGACAATAGAGGTGAAAGTAATACCTCACTTGACACATGATAGGTATTTTGTAGTGTTTTTACTTTTTTCCTTAAAAAATAAAATTTTCTAGGACCACCTGAGAAGGGACATCAGGACTCTTGAGTTTGAATAACTTTCCTTGTCTGCTGCTTGAAAATAACAGCAACAAGAGGTTCTCTTTCTCTTACTTAAAACTTTGTTTCTTTGTATTAAAATATAATTTGGGGACTAAAGGAAAGAAGAGATGCTTGCCCTTGTGTCTTTGAAATTGGGGACATCTCATTGTGAATGGAGGCTCTCGAAGCTGGTTTGGATAGAAGCAAACATCATTTAATCCTCATTAGCCCTGTGCCTTATTATATTGTTATTGTTGTAAGGTGCCATCGAGTCGGTTCTGACTCATAGTGACCCTATGTACAACAGAACAAAACACTTTCTGGTCCTGCATGATCCTCACAATCATTGCCATGTTTGAACCCATTGCTACAGTCACTGTGTCAGTCCATCTCGTTGAGGGTCTTCCTCTTTTTCGCTGACCCTCTACTTTACCAAGCATGATGTCATTCTCCAGGGACTCTCCCTCCTCATAACATGTCCAAAGTACATGAGATGAAGTCTCACCATCCTTGCTTTTAAGGAGCATTCTAGCTGTACTTCCAAGACAGATTTGTTTGTTCTTCTGACAGTCCATGGTAAATTCAGTATTCTTTGCCAACACTATAATTCAAATGCCTCCCATTTACTGAATGTCTAGCAGTGCCCTCTGTTCTTTATCCAGGATTGAAAAGCACTGCAAAGGTGGGATCCTCTATACTGAGCACCTATTCTGTGTCCATCCTGCCAGGTAAGTTTGTTCCTGTTATACTGAAGCTCAGAGATGCAACTTACTCAAGCTCATTCAGCCACTCAGTGTTAGAACCAGAAGTTAAGGTCAGGTCTGACTGATTCTAAAAGCCAAAGTTAAACATATTTTGGAAACAGCTTTTTTATTTTTTACTTTTTACTGTTATGTCTTCTGAAAATTTAGCCCTAAAATAAAATTCTTACGTGGAAAATATGCATTATATATTACCCACAGCCAAAGGGCTGCCTTGGAGGATGGAAAACGTCTATTAAGATTTAAAACCTTTGGAAATGTTTTCCTCTGCTGTCTCCCAGCCTTGTGAAATATTCCTTGTTTATGTCTAGCCCGTTGTAGAAATGGTATGGCGGGGGCGTCTGACCTTGTTTAATATCATGAGGAGGGAGAATCACCATGAGCAGCATCAGCCCAAGGCTGATTCCTGTGAGGCGGAGGTCAGGCATACCTCCTCTCTCCAACCTTTTCACCAGTTCCTACACCAGCTGCCCCTCCAGTGGCACTCTCTGCTCCTCTGCTGGGTTTGATAATTTTGTTGCAATGGCCACACAGAACTTACAGACCATACTCAGTTATGAGGTTTATTAGGAAAGTAACAGGTTACAATTCAGGATCAGGAATGACTCAGGATACAGTTCCTCAATCAGGACAGCCTCTTTTCAGCCGTGCCTGAAGACGGGCCTCTTTCTGGCCCTTGGCCCCTCAGCCTGTCCTCTGCCCTGCTCAAGCAAGTGTTATAAAGCTCCTTAGCTCCACCCGTAAGTGTCTGGAGGCACCCTGTTCCTTCAGTAAGCCTCAGCTCTCTTGCTTCCTGGGCCGGCAAGCCTAGTTCTGTCGACAAGTGCCCAGAGGCACCCTACTCCTCCACGAAGCCTCCTGCCCAAAGGTGTCCAGCTCTTTTGCTCCGTGGGTTGGCACACCCACTGTAACTGCCTTGCTCTGTGAGCCAGGAAGCCCTGTCTTGCTCCTGTCTCCTGGTTCTGCTGCTGCCATTTCTCTGCCATCACTTCTCACCGTCTTGTGCCATCTCCAGTGTTACAGGTCTTTCTCACTCTGTCGCCTCAATCTAGGAGGTTCTCAATGCAGGGACCGCAGGTCCAAAGGATGTGCTCTACTCCTGTCTCCTCTTCTTGGTGGTAGTAAGGTTGCCCTCTCCCTCTGGATTGACTCTCTTTTTTAAGCCTAGTGGGATGGCAAAACTGACCAATCCCATCGTTAAGGTTCCATACACCTTATTTGCATGGTCCCCGCACCCCCACCCCCAGGGGTTCCATGCACCTTATTTGCCTTCTTAGCAGGTTGTCCAATCCCCTTGGTGGGCCACAAACACTGTATTTGCATAGTCCCACCTAATCTTTTTGTGGGTGTCACAAAGACTATGGCTAGAAGGGCCATATTAAGTAGTTCACTGTACCACACAAATGTACTACATCAGCAGGGATCTGTATTCTAATTCAGGCCTTGGGTTCTAAAGCCCTACCATATACTTGTTTCTTCTGTGACTTAGATGTTCTGAATTCTTTATTCTAAAGTAGATGTCTCGGAAATAATCTCAGTATCGCAGAGAACATGCTTCATTGTCCAGCACCCAGCAAGTTAGGCCAGTTGGTAATGTGGTTTACTCTGCAGGTTGCTTACTTACAAATGCAACAGTTGGTCTGTTTTATGCCATTGTGTTGTCACCAGCATTTTAAATCTTCTCCAGTCGGGGTGGACACCTCAGGCAGGTTTACTGGAAGATTCTAGTTGCTACTCTGAGATTCTGTTTTACATTAAACAGCTTCAAGGGAGTTCAAGTTTCTTGGCAGATGAACTTATTTTTAAAAGTAAGCAGGCTTCCAAGTTGAGAGATGATTTTAAATTTCAGGTGAGTTCTCAAGATACAGGTGATTCTTTATTATGTGGGTGGTATAATCAGCTGTGCTAAGGCCCCTGCCCCACCCAGGCACTGGGAGAGTAGGAAACCTAAGCTTTGGGTGACCAGAGAGAGAGCTTGGGCTTTCTAGCCTATAGTCACTATGCAACATCTAGGCTGTTGCCATTTTAGAATTGTAACTTATAGTTTAATGATACATATTTTTTTAATATGCCGTTTATCAAATGCTTACTATAGGTTAGGCACTTTATGTACATTATTTATCATCCCTGCAATTATCCTCCAACATGAGAGATATTTTACAGATGGGGAAACAGGCTCAAAAAGCTTATGTAACCTGTCCAAGGTTGCACAATTAGTTAGGTACCCTTTTTTTTTTTTTTTTTTTA